ATCTCAAATTGCAATGACCCAGCTGCTTGAAGAAATCGAAACTCAAGAGGTAGACATAGATCATGACCACGGATCCCCCACCAAGAGCCATGACACCGATGATTGGAATCGCAATAAGCGCAGATTGTATCAATTCCTCGAGGAAAGTTCTTGTTCCAGCTGCCAAGCAACAACGATAAGTGGATCTTGTAGAAGTAGAATCGAAAGAGCTTTGCTTGCATACCGGTTGCTGGCTCTGGAGTAGTGGACGCGTGATGGAGCGAGTGATAGTTGCAAAAGAGTATGTGAGAGCTATGCATTGCTCGGTGGACAAAGTAGTAAATCGGCTCCGTGAAGACGACATGGAAGAAGACGAGTAGTAGAAGCCCAGTCCAGTTGAAAAGCGGGAGATCTCTAAAGGCAGGGATCCAAACATGGGCTGCCGCTAATGCCAGGGACTGGAAGATCATATGGTTGTCACTGGAGAGGACAAAAACCATTAGACACACCGAGCAAAGAATCGAATCCAAGTTACCAGTGGAATTCCCGATCCACTTGCTCGTAGCTCAGCGCAAACTGTTGAATCTGGTACTTCTTGACAAGGAAGTAGAGCCTGGAGACCGTGATCCATGCCTGCTGCTGGAGGTACCTCAAGAAAACGAGGAGGACGAGATGGAACCACCAGGAATCGGTGGAAGAATGCCGAGCGGCGAAAAAATGGGAGTGCGCCGCTTTAGCGACAAATGGCGCAAACATTATGTACTGCATGGCGAGCGAGCGAGCGATCGATTGTCAGCCAAGAAACCAAAAAGAGAGGAGAGGGCCACAAACCTTGAGATTCCCGAGCGTTTCCCATGGCCAATCGGCCAGTGGAGCAGTCGACACGCCCATGGAGGACGGAAGGATCGCCGCGATATTTCCCCGGAGAGGGTTTCGATCGATCGGCGCTGCTACGGGAATGCGATATTTCGGAGCCGATTCACGCGATGCGCTGCCCGAGGGTCTGATCAAGAACCAAGAAAGCTAGAGGGAGCGAGATGGGGAGGAAATCTGCGAGCTAGAGGCGATCCAGAGGAGAGAATCGCTGGAAATCTGCGCTGCGATGGAATGGTGACTTACATTCGCGAGATTTATAGCGGCGGCAACGATCAAGACGACCTCGCGAGAAGCGAGAGAAGAAGCATCGGCGAAGATGAGCGCTGCGCGACGCAGTCGTCTCGGTCGTCGCCCTGGATTCTCCTCCTCTTCTTTGAAGCCCTTGGACTCTCATCGCTCTCCCTCGCGTTAGTTGCTAATAGCGCGTTGCGCGCATTGAATGAGCGACAGCCTTTAACAGAGGCACACACACACACGGAGAAAAAATTTCAACCAAAGTCAACCCCTCGCGAATCTCGGCCGTCCGCGTGGCGTGCATGCGCACCCCGCCACGCGGGATACAGCGTGGCATAGTCTGCCACCTGTCTGACACGCCAGCGCCAAGAGGAGTGACACGTGGCGGTCACCGCAGTCAACGCCTCTATTACGGGGATTGACAATATTTTTCCCGCAGGCCGCGGCGTTGAATTGACCGCTTGACCACCCAACGCCAGTCCAACGCTACCAAATCTTTAAAGGAAAGTAGAGCACAAATCAAAGAGAGGAGCTTCTCGTTAGAATTTTTTAAGTGTGTCCGTAAAGAACTTTTGATCTCCAATAGCTTCTATACTTCTTCCACCTGAGAAGCAAAGCTATGGATTGAAAGGATGTTTAAGTTTGTCCGCAAAGTACTTTCACTTCTATGCTTACACCTGCGATAGCGAGCAAATAGATTTAGTGTCGAAAGAAACGCTCAAGAAAACCATACCGCGAGTAGATCTTCTTTGAGCGAAGCACTCCAACACAATGTACTCGTCTTTGATTAAACTCGTGGCATGGTTTTTGTGATCAAACTTTAGCTTTTACTGAGAGACAAACGAGAGAGAGGGAACGTTTTTGTCTGCGTAGAAGTAAAAGCTTACCAGGCTGGGCGGGGAGAATGAAGTCCTTGTTCGTCTGTGCTGGCTCTCAGAGCAGTAGAAAGGGCAGCAGTGTCTCCGAGAGACGACAGAGCACAGTGGAGCTGCAAGAACAGCAACAGCCATTCCACCACCAACACATTGATTGTCACTTTGTATCCAACTCCAAATCATCGTCCTATGAGCCACTATGGCCAACAAGAAAGTAGAAGCGAAGATAAGCAAAAACGAGGAATAAAGATAAGGAACA